AGGGCGAGGGGCGGGGCGGCAGGACCCCAGGACCTGGGGGGTTGCAGGATGTGGATAGGGGAGGTGGGGCTGAGGGAGGGTGGCAGAACCCAGATATTGGGAGGGGGAGGGACAGGAGGGGATGGATGAGAAGCATCAGGGGAGATGGGAAGCAGGGAGGGGGGTGTTGTTCTGACCCATCCCCCACGCTGTCTCTGCCCTCCCCAGATTGAAGACCCCCCCTCGGCCGCGGGGGCAGCGCCCAGAGCCGGAGAGCCGTGGGGTGAGTGCAAGGCAACAGCCTCCCTTCCCCCCCGGTGCTAATGCCCCCCCGTGCTAACGCCCCCTCTCTCCACAGGGCCTGCCTCCGCCCTACCACGACGCCGGCTTCCACATGGCCTTTGGCATCGGAGCCTTCCCCTTCGGGGTCTTCACCACCGTGCTGCGGGGGCCCGAGGCCAGAGTAGGTACGGACCCCCCTGCTGCTACCCACAGATCCCCCACGGACCCCCCTGCTGCTACCCACAGATCCCCCACAGAGCCCCCTGCTGCTACCCCCAGCCTCCCAGATCTCCCTGCTGCTACCCACGGAGCCCCCACGGAGCCCCTGCCGCTACCCCCAACCCCCCAGATCTCCCTGCTGCTACCCACAGATCCCCTACCCTGCCACTGCTCCTCCCCCAGCTCCCCACCACACGCTGCCCATTCCAACTCCTCCTGCTATCCCAACCCCCCACAACTTTCCACTGCTCCCTGTGCTCCCCACCCCCTCCCATTCCATTGCACCCCATGCTGGACCCAGCCCACCGCTTGGCAGTGGGGGGGGGGGGGCGTGGGCTGGATTTCCCCGGCTCCCCCTTCCACTTACCTCTCTCTACCCCCAGATGAAGCCGGCGCCCCCCGTCCCTCGGGCTGGCAGGATTCGCTCTTCCTCTTCCTGGCCATCTTCTTCTTCTTCTGGCTCCTCAGCGTCTGACCCCAGGGGGCCCAGCCCCCCAACACGGCCCCAGGACACTGCTGGACTCGACCTGCCCCGCCCCCAACACGGGCCCAGGACACTGCCGGACTCACGCCCTGCCCCGGCCCACACGGACGAGGAGGGGGGTCTCCCCGCCCCCTGTGCGGGCTGAGAACGGGGGACTGATGGTGGGTTTGGGGGTGATGTGGGCCCCCAAGGGGCTGGGCTGACCCCCGCTTACACTACACAATATAAATGTCTGTGGCACCCCTGCAGGCAGGCCCAGGAACTGCAGCTGGACAGGAGCGCAGCCGGGGGGTGCCCCGTGCTAGTGGGGGTGGTTTGGGGGGCAGCAGGAGCCGGGGGGGGCTCTCTGGCTATTGGTATAATGGTGGTTGAATGGAGGTGAAGAGCGGCTGGGAATGGAGGGTGGGGGGCAGGGGGGATGTGGGGTTCACAGTGTACGTTCCCAGCACTGATTAAAACACCAGTGATTCTTTAGCCCCCTGCGAAGAGTGTGGGGGGAGGGAACTAAGGGGTCTGGGGGGCTCGGCCCCAGCGCCCGAGAAACCAGAACTGTGACCTGTCAGGCGTGGGCCTGAGGTAGACGGGGCTGGAGGCAGGGCGAGGAGGGGAAAGTGGGGGGCTGGAGGGAGGAGACAGGAAGGAAGGGGTCAGGGGAAAGTGGGGGGCCAGAGGAGGGCACGGGGGCAGGGGAAAGCAGGCAGGAAGGCGGGGGGCTGAGAGGTTCTGTGACCGGCCCAGAGGAGCCCGCGATGGAGCGGAGCCAGGGGGTCCGGCTGTGCCCCTGGGGACCCCTGGCAGCTCCCCCGGGAATCGCAGCCCTGGCCCCTGGGGCGAAAGGCCACGAGCGGCTGGTGAGCGCCAGCAATGCCGGCGACAGGGGGACATGTCACTGGCTGGGGAGCACCATGGGGGAGGTGGAGAAAAGGGAACAGCAGGGGCTGCGGGTTGGGAGTGAGGGGCACTGGCAGAACTGGGGGGCAAGGCTGGGCTGACAGGGGCTGCGGGTTGGGAGTGAGGGGCACTGGGCAGGGCTGGGCTAGCAGGGGGCTGTGGTCAGGAGTGAGGGGCACGGGCAGAGTGGGGGGCAGGACTGGGGCGGAGTTGTGGGGGGAGACATGGCTGGGCCCATTGGAGAGTCAGGCACCTCGGGGGGCAGGTGCAGTTCCCCTCACCGGTGTCCCCCAGCCAGCTCTCCCCCAGCTATGCCGGGGCAAGCCTGAGATATGGGGGGGCAGAGCCCATCCCGCCTGCTTCTGGGGAGGGGAACAGGGCAAACAGCTGGAGACAGATGGGGGGGTTCACACTGCTTCCCTCCAAGCAGCACCTGCAGCTGCTGCCCAAGGTGGGGGGCTGGTACTGAGAGCAGATGTCGCCCCTTTGGGCAGCCTTGGTTTTGGGGTTCAGGTTGGGGGAACTGATTTGGAGAGACAGCAAGTTTCAGGGAACACACACATCCCTGAAATCCATGGACCTGAAATAACCAGCAAGTGGAAAAAATATATTTTATTATATAGGCAAAAAAGTCTGTACAACAGCAAAGCGGGGGGCAGAACCCCAGGGGGGGACCCCAAACCAACACAGATGGCCTGTGCTGCACCCCCTCCCCCCACTAATTCATTTGAGGCCTAGTTCCCCCTCAGAAGCCTGCTCTTGAGTAAGGCTCATCTCTCCTAGGTTGGACCCACAGCCCCACACTGGGGTCGCAGGGTGCAGGGGAGGCCCCCATGTTGCTCCTGGGCTTCCCCCCATGCAACCACCTGCGTGTCCCCCCATTCCAGTCTCCCTAAAGTAGCCAAGGAGCCAGCATTGATGGAAGAGACAAAAGGGCTGCCCTCAGCCAAGCAAAACAGGAGGTGGGGGGAGGACAGACCCCCCCCCACCTTATTAACTGATAGAAGAGGGGGCAGGGTCCCACACACACAGCTGGGGAAGGGAGGCCCCATTTTTGAGGGAGAGAAACAGGGAAATGGCCCCATGAAGGGGAAGGGGATGGAGGTTCTGGGGTTGCGGGGGGGGGAAAACTCAGGGAAGATCCGAGGGGAAGGAGAGGGGTGATGGATCACGGGGGGCGGGAAATCAGCGCGATGATAAATCCAAGGGGTTGAGGTGACAGGGTTCAGGGTAGGGGTGGTGATCGAAGTGATGGGGCAGCATGTGTGGGGATTGGGGTAATGGGGGTTCAGGGTGAGGGACTGGGGTGATGGGAGGTTTGAGGCGGGAAGCAGCCGGGGGGGGTTACATTCCAACCAGCTGCTCCCCAAGAAAACCCAAACAAAACAAACGGCCCAAACCAAAGTGTAACTCCTGGGGGAGATGCCCAGGGACCCCCCCGTGACACCCCCCACCCCAAGAGCCATGGGGGGACACCCAGAAAAACAACAAAAGTTAAGAAACATATGACAAAAAAACAGTTTTTTTTTCCATTCTAAACATTCCCCCCGACACACACTTGCACTGGGGGAGTCACGTCAGGTGTGACGAGCCCCCCACCCACTGAACTCCCCCCACAGCCCCCATCCAGTCCCGCCCGCTTACCCAGGACCCCAGTAACCCCCTCCTCCACTCCAGCCCCCCCTCCCTCATCTAACCCCCTCTCCAACCTCCCTCCCCCGGCAGACACACGCCATAGTTGCAGACAATAAAAGAAATTAACCTTGACAGTGGCGGGGGAAGGGGGGAATGGGGCCCAGCGCCCCCCATGTCGTGGGGGGGCTGGGGGTCAGAGGTAGAAGGTTCCATGGTCTCTGGCTCGGAGTCCGAGTCTCTCTTGGTGTCGCGTTGAGGTAAATGAAGTAAGGGGCCCGCGGCGCCGGGCGAAACGCAGTCCCCTTCCCGCGCCGGCCTGGCCGCTCCTCGGGAATTCGTCCCGGCACTCCCGTCTGGCTCGCGCGGGCCGGCCCTGCGCCCCCCGCCGGCTTTCAATGGCTAGAGTTCAACTGGTCAGTCTCCCGTCTTGTTCGCTGCTCCTCTTCTCCCGCCGGCGCCCCGCGCCTCCTCCTTACGCCCCCTCCCCATCACGTCTTTCCTCCCCCCGCCCCTCTCTCCACACACCCCCGTTTCCCGCGGCTGGGCGGGGCGCTGGGGCTCTGCTCCCGCAAACATCCTGTCCTGGAGCCCCACGTGCTCAGCGCCCCGGGGGGCACAAATGGGAGCAGGGGGCAGCCAGTCGGGGGGGGGGGTAGCAAGAGACGGCTGGACACGGACCGAGCGCGGCGGAAACGGCCGTGCGAGGGAGCTGAGAAAACGGGGAGAACCCGGGCAAAACGGCGAGGCCGGCGCACGGGGACGAGAAGGAAACGCCCTGAAGAGTGAGAAAGCCGGGGGGGGGAAGCCGGGGGGGTCTTGGCCCCACATGGGGGGAGTCGGGGGGGGAGGGGGGGAGGCTCACAACCTTTGTGCTGCTCGTTCAATACCAAAATGCCCAGGGAGCCTGGATTCGGCTCCGGCCCCCTCTGGATTCACCCTACAAAGCGACGCCGTCGGGGGGTCCCCATGGGCACCACCTTGGCTTGTTTCCCGTGAAAAGATGCCAGCCCCCCCGCCCCCCATGGATGTGGGGGGGCGCCGGGGGGGTGGATCAGTTGGAGGTGTCGGAGTGGACGCTACCGGGTCCTTCCGTGGGGGACGTCACCGAGGAGGGGGTAGCGGCTTCCTGCCACCCGCCGTTAGCCTGGGGGGGGGGTCAAAGGTAACAGGTTACATTGAGCCACGCCCCTACCCCCCCAACGTCCCCCAGTGGTTATGGGGGATCCCCTGCCCCCCGCCCCATTGAGAACAGCGGGCTCTGGAGCAGCGGGGGGGGTGGGACGGATGGGGGCGGGAGACAGCGGGTGAGGGAGGATTGGGGGGGGTGG